GGAGAACTCCTTCGAGCTGCATTTTTGATGATTTCCTGGACTGTTCCTCTTCATTTTGCCACGGATAACCTTTACCCCAAAATACCTTTGAAACTGTTTTTCAGAGAGGGGAAAACATTGTGTGGACGTGTGCGAGTCCACACAATGCCATCATACCCTACATTATGTGGACTTCTTTTGTGCAGAGGTCCACACTGTGTACCGCAACTGTATGCCACGACTGCACACACACACCAATAATTTTTAAGCCCACAGCTGGAAATTGGAAAAACAAACCAAGGACACTCGTACGCGTACATTGTAGTTGCTCAAGACTTTCTTTGAAGGATCAATGCAATTATTTTTCTTTTTTTCTTAGGCTCACCTTTTTGTGCATCGTTTTATTCTACAATGTACTTAAAAAAGTGCACTTTTGAAATCATTTTTAATCTAATTTAATTCAACCCTAACCTTCCTCAATCCTCCAAAATCTTCCAGGCGAGTTTGGAGTATTTTGGAGACTTGAAGGGGAATGGCAACAGTGCATGGCTTATTGCAAAGGATGCCATGTGTGAAGGTCATGGGTAAGACCTTGTGTTGTTTTTGCTTAGTCCTGCATAAATTCAGGCCGATATTTCTGTTGAATCAATCACAGTGCTCAAGAATCCCCTTCGCACTGCCTTCAACATAATGACAGGAATTGCTGGTGGAATTTGAAGGATTGAGGCAGTAGGCACACCTCCAAGCAACGTTTACAAGAAGTTTTGAAGGATGGGGGAGAATCCAATTTTTCAACCCCCGCCCCCTGAGGATTGCCAACATTTTAGAGGAAATTTTTTCAGTTTTGCCGAGTTTTCCCTGAAATTTCTCTACTTGGGAATAGTGAGGAATATTATGAACGCTCTAATGAGAAAGCATCATGCAAGAAGAAAACCGTATGGATGAGAACGGAAAGTTTTTGTTTGTCCCTGTTGGTCACGCAATTTGACGTGATTGTACGTATTCGTGCAATGCAGCAGGCCAACTTGTACCCAAACGCACTCGTATCCAGGTCTGTGTACATACATGTACGTGTGCACCATGCCCAAAATCCGGACATCTCATTTTTGACCGCTGCCAAACTCAGTGTGGAAATTTGAATCCGTATGAAAAACGAACTGCATTTCAGACAAATGGCTTTCAATCTTGAAAAATATTAACTGATAGATACAAAAAAAATTCAGTCTGAAGGGAGTTTGAGAAAAGTGTGAAAATTGGGCACTAAATTGGGTGAAAAACACGGAAAATGACGAAAATGGGTCCCTATGAAAAACGAGGTGAATGTCAAAAAAATGGTTTTCTTCCAAGAAGTACCGGTACCAAGAGTTACCAGACTTTCATGTGGCATCAAAGTTATTTCAAGGTAAACCCAGCAAAATTGTGAAAATCAGACACAAAGCTAGGTAAAAGAAACAATAATTTTTCATAAATATACTTTGTCCAAAAATTGACATTTTCCACTTTCTTTAATTTTTTCCTGCAATCTTTTTTCACCGGGAGCTGTTAAATATATCCATTTGACAGACTCTAGGCAATTTACTCACACACGAGGTCTTCAAGGGAAATGGCAGTACAATCTCCCACATGGGTCACCACCAATATACGTCGTCTGCTAGAATAATTTTTCGGACCGACGACCATTATGTCACTATGGCGCACGCGCGAATACACAAACTAAATGCATGAACAGTCTATGGGGACCGAACATACATGTACATGTACATGTACGTTGGACACTAGCGGGGCTTTTTTTTTAGCAATGAGTGGATTACCACTTTGTTGTACAGCCCTGGATAAATTAACTGATGGCCTTCACCTCCTTTTCTTCACATTAATTTATGGCAAATAGCGTACAGCCTAGACATTTTCCAGGCCTCAAAATATATAAATAACATCTTTTTGAAGAAAGACAATATTCTGCTGAACAGGCCAAATGAAAAAAAATATATTTTTCATAATTACACAGTGATAAATTGCATCCATCTCCCCTCCGTTTTCTCTTTCTTTTTTTTTGAAAGTCTTATGTTGTCAAGAAAAGGACATTGGCATAACCACAAATATGCATTGTTGTTAAGCTACACACATGTACCTGCATTAAAAACTCACTTGTTAGGAAGAAACAGAGTAGTAATATGGCTGCCTTTGTAGTTTGTGTTGGCCAAACGTTTAAACGGTTTAACGGCAAATTGAAATGTTGCTAAACATTTTGCAAATTAAACGTAACTTCTGACCCTAACACTCCTCCTACTGCATCCATTCTAACTCATTGTGACAAGTGTGAGCCTGCAACCTACAGTATAAGCCTTTTGTGAGTGAAATCATGGTTAAATTTGAATAAAATCTGGTACACTGAGCTACATGTATCCAATTGCACATAAACAAAACAATTTGAATACCGCCCGGGCTTAAGGCAATGCTGCAATATCTCGTGATTCGGGCAAGCTTTTGCATAGCGACCACCATCTCTGGACTGGACTGGTTCCCTTGTGCTTTTTCTTATCCACTGTAGACAGTGTATTAATGCAAGGTGTCTCTTATGTAACAAAGCAAAACTTGTAGTCAAAGTTTGAAAAAATGGCTTACATGTACATCTGTGCCAAAGCTAAAACCGGCCAAAAGGTAATGTGACGTTCACATTCGGTACACTGGTTTGTGACTGGTGCCCAGCTGATTGTGGCTCACTTGAGGTAAACCCTAAGATCTCTTGATCACCATTTTTTTCTAAACCCAGCAGCTGCCTGCCTGACATATATCCCGCAATAATGTCAAACACACCAACAGTGGTAAACAAGGCTATCATATTTCAAAGGGGGGAAGATCCCTAGAACGTTAAAGACACCTAATGTAGCTGCAATGACTAAGCCTGCTGCCTTGGTGGTTGAATGTCTGTGGCGTAAGTCCAGACGAAAAGAATTTGGAGGGGGGGAGGGGCAGGATTTTTTAATTTCAAATTCTACAGAGATGTGCACATGATACACGTGAGCACGCATTAAAGTGGCCCGCTTCAAAAGTTTAAAGAAATATTCCCTGACGGTATCTTTAAAATCTGTATTATTTCCGTACCGGGTAGTGCGTGCACACTGGTTGTTTTTTGAATCAGGCCAAATTCCTCAGCTGTGGCTTTTTTTTTCCTTCTTTTTTCCCCCTTGCTTAATCTGAGGCATGCCCATTTTTCATCAATCAGAGTGTCAAGTCTGGAATAAATGTCAACGTTGAGAGGACTCACATGGGGTTCTACCGTTTGTGAATGTTCAGATCTGTTATCGTCTATTCCATTTGGAGTAAATATACAGTACACAACGTAAGCGCACGTCCGTGCATCGGTGAGCACAGGACAAACATTTGTAAGCATTCTATATTTATCTCTGACATGAAATTCAATGAGTGTTTACAATGTGAGTCTAATTGACCAAAATTGTGTGATGTTAAGTGCCTGGTGCCAAGCGAGTTTAAGGTTAAAAAGTAGAGAGTGAAGTGTTGTATACATGTAATGTATACAGTGGAAGAAGTACCAGTTGGGGCATCATTCACTTTTAATAGACCTGCAGTTACCTGGCAAATTCCTTTGCTGTACTAAATTCAAATAATCACATGTGCAGGTACAAATTCTTGAATAATCCACAACGTTACATTCTGACTTTCTGTTGTTACTATAGGAAATGTTGAAGTCAGTTTCACTGTATACCGCACGGTCATACCCATCTGACCCAAGCATTCACCTGTTTGTGTACAGGTACGTGTACTTTGTAACGTAGGTGAGTGTTATTTTACCCTCAGCAAGGACAGTGAAACCAGCTTCATGTGCAGGTACATTTACATGTATACAATGTCACAGGTACTACGTATATCATAGAATATTACTGTCTTGAGATTGTGCTCAGCTCTTCTATTTTTCCCATAAAACTAACATTTCTCTGCCTTTAGTTGGAACCCCATTCCAATGTGGGTGTGTTCAACAATTCCCAACGATCACATGTCTGGACACTCACCTTGCCAAGGGAACCCGATGCATGTATGTACCCGGGACTCATCAACTGATTTTTAAACTGGTTCACTTGCTCGTTCTTAGGCCGTGGTATTGGTATTGCCGGCATTGCCAGAGGCGGCCAATTCTGAAACGCTTTTGACTTGAAAGGAATGCCATCATTTGAAAGACCACCCTTTTTAACGTTCTCCAACAGTGGCATAACTACTAGTAATGTGGGGAAAAGATATAGGGGCCAGAAGGGGGTCATGCTCCCAACATGAAAATCCACGCCCCCATCCTGATGCCCCTCCCCCTTTGAAATTTCAACATGTACTGAAATAAGCCTTTTGCAAGTTAAATTTCAATAAAATCTGTGCACCAAGTTCTTTTAATTCACATTTACAACATGAATTCTCCACACAAAAGACACTGTTGCTATACATGTACATCATGATTTGGGGCAAGTGCCCTGTACCAACAAAGAAAGAAACCAGTCCATTCCAGAGATGGTGGTCGCTGTGCAACAGCTTGCCCCAAATCATGAGGTACAGCAACAGCGTTTAATCTGGAAAATTCAAATTAGGTTTATGTGCAATCAGTCAACTCAGCGTACCAAATTCTATTCAAATTCCACTCGTAAACGGCTTATTCATGTGCATTTAGTGCTTCCTTGAAAAAATGTGCACTCCCCAGATACCAACTCAATAATTAACCCAAAGTTATGCCACTGTTCTCAAACCAAGTTGTTAATTTTAAACTTGGTGGGGACTGACAAATATGGAAATGGGGGAAGCAGTTTTGGTGTAGACCTCAAAGCAGATTTCTGTCATTTTTCTTTTTAAATTGGAATCAATTTCAGACATTCATGGCAACTTTTTTTATCAGGTTCATGTTGTGCCAGATGAAATAGGCCAAAACGTAAAATATACCCAGTCGCAATAAAGATGTTAAGCTTGGTATCCAAGTCACTCTGGCAGATACATGTATGTACCGGTACGTATCAACAAGACCTCACCTTGAACTTCTTTAAGTAGCCACACTTGACAATGTCTGACCCGTCTCCTGCTCCTGGTATGTTTTCCTTCTGCGACGACATGGTGGACCAAAATGATGAACCATCTAAAGCCAAGTCCCTGCCAGACGCAGCAGCTGAGGTTGAACTCTCTACGACTCCTCCGGTTTCCTGGTCGGTGGGCCTGTTTTTTAATTGCTGGATACCTGCGTGTCCCCCCCCCCTCCCGGGGGTGTGTTTACACCGTCATGTTTATATTATGTGGGACTGGAAGCGAGAACGGATAGCTGGGGTGCGGGTTGAACTAGGCTGCAACATTCTTGTTTTCACTCACCAATGGGATCATCTACGGAAAAATAAACCAGAAAAAATGAGAATCCGGTAAATTTGTGATTGAACTGGTATTAATGGAAAAACAGGTCGGCGACTGTCACTGGGCAATCACTTTGACACTTATTTTTTCAACAACAATCTCCGAGAATCTTCGCAATCCACTGTTTTTGAAAGACTTTTCAACATTTAGGAAATCAGGGTCTAGCCTCTGTTATTTAAAGGCCCTTCAACAATTAAGGCTCAAAGAATGTGCCTTTGGTTTTCTGCAAGAAAACTCGAGTACATGTACGTGTATGGTAGATTTGAAAAGATTCCTTACCAAACAAACCTTAAGGAATATGAATTCATGAGCTGATCAGAATGTTTCTGAACATTCAAGTAGTGGTCCAATATACATGTACATGTACCTCCGGTCCAATATTTCAATTGCATCAGCAGAAATGGAACCATAACCATGGCAGAATCAATCAAATGGCATCAATTACAGCATGTGCGGTACCGATGTTGGCCAACTTTAAAGAGTCATGCTGGTAGGCATAGGCTCACTGTGCAATCTCGATATGTGTAGCAAACACATAGGAACCGTCCATTGTAAGTACCAGTACATGTATGCCCCTGGCATAAAATGTGCAAAGCAGGGGTGGAAAGTGCAATGTTATAAATAGCACCTGGTAACACACTGTTACACAAAGTATTTGTACAAGTGCAAAACAACTCCCAGCAGAACAACACCCAGACTTGGTACAAACTCCAGTTTTTACGCACCTGTTGTTATTGTGAAAGCAAACACTCCAGTCTGCCATGAATGCCAAGGAAAGACTGGTGTACATGTACAGTGCAGTGGATGTACATGTATGTACAGGAAAGGCAGTGCATAAGAAACTTTCCTCCCAAAGATCCAGGTACATGTAGCAATGCCAGCGCTTTATTGCAAAATGATGGAGAGTGAAAGTGAAAATTCCAAGCTGTTTTAAACGCCGAGTGCATGCGGTTTCAGACAACCTGTTTTCCATCTCTTCTTTGCCTTTTTTTAATCCAAACAGGCAAAAAGTGAGATTATTTAAAACCAGTCCAGACTTGCCAGACCACTTGGAAACTGTACCGTACACCTACTGGTACACAGTAAGCAGTGTTCTAGCTAGGACCATTTTAGTGCCGGGTAAATTTTTGGATTACAAAGCATAGTGAGCGCAGTTCTTAATGCTTTCTGATGCTTGAAATACAATCCAATTGGTACATTTACATTTTCAGTAATATTTCAGTTCATTTTTTGGAAAATCCGTGATGGTTGGCACAGCCAATTTCAACCCTGAGTGCCGAAGGTAATTTGCAGTACAGGGTGGTGCCGCCTGGCGCCGCCCACCACGCCTAGAACCCTGACAGTAAGGTACTAAATCTAGAACAGTAAATATGAACATGTAGGCCCTATGTGGGATTTGTGGATCTCCAAACTCTGATTTCATATGACATCCGTATGGTCGCTGGATTGGGTGGCGGTCCAGCATACCATAGATATATACATGTACATTTGTACGTAGACCTTACATTTCAACTGTTAACTCAGCTGCAGCAGTAAAAACTTAAAGACCTATTAAAATCAACCTTACACACACATCCATGCTTCTTGTCTCCCATTGATTTTTTCCCCAATCAATAAATATTGCCGGCCAAATTTTACAGGAAAGCAGGGGCAGGCTGTGCCCACAGACAGTCTGGCACCAATTACATTATTTGCCAATATGAGACAATATCCTTACAATATGTGGGTCTTCACAAAAACAAAGCAGAGAGCGAGAGTCTATGAGAACAGCTCATCAACAAATTTTCAACCTCCTACCGATATACATGCATGCACTCCTTTTTCTGCCACTGTTGAAGAGAGTTTGGACCTTGTGGTAAAAGAAAAAAAAACAAGCCACAGGGCTAGGGACATGGAAACCATTAATTTATAGTTCATGGCCACACAAAATGAGATCTCCAGACTCTATGCGGCGCTAAGATTTTTCAGGCAGGGCAGCAATCAAACTTGTTTGCCCCATGTCACTGTGTAAACTGTAAACCTAACATGAGGTGATGCAGTTTAGAATCCAGCACACCCTGCTCTATACCGGTAAGTTCAAAGGCAATATTGATGAGTACAGCCAACTCTTGTTATCACAAAGTTTGAGGGACCCGACAAAATACCAGTACATTGGTGTATTGAGAACTTTGTTGTAAAGGAACAGAAAAAAAACAAAAAACAAGAACTAAAGAAATTGGGATTCTTAGAAGAGGCTCTTTAAAACAGTACGTATTTTGTTATGAAACTGGTCTTTATATCTTTATATATAGTGTGGACGGCAGTACTTTGAATGAGTGGGAATATTCATGAGTATTTACCGGAAGCAACCCACATGCATACCGGTGCCACAGTACGGTACGTAACTCACTGACTGCTATTTAATCCAACTGTGCTCCTTAACTTCTCTTTAGGAACCTCACACATGCACGAGAGATTTCACTTTCTACTGCAAACCTGTCACAATAAGACTCCGGTTTAAGAAATTTTGGAAGATTTATGTAATGTGTACCAAACGTGTACACTGCGCAGAGGGGCTCAGCTCAAAGACTAACACAGCCCTAAAATAAAAATATGGGGACTTGATGCTACATGTACATGTACTCTACATCCACATGTTGTTACATGTACCTGCCTTTCAAAAATATGGTCGGTAGGTCAAAAAAATTGGGGGGGGGGAGTTTTTGTGCTGATTGAATGCAACAGTTCATTCTGTAAATTTCAGCCCTTTTCCATTTGTGCTGTGCAAGCTAAAAGTAATGAAACATGCCTTTTAGCGTCACAAAAATTGACAGTTGATAATTCTTTGAAAAGTAATAGAGAATTCAGGTCTTGCACACAGGCACAATGCTACGGTAGTCTGGCAAACAATGTCCACATATCACATGGTAATTGGTAACCATGTCTGATGAATCCACAGGGCAGATGACGAACCGTGTGTTGCCGTTATGGCAGGAAATTTTGTTGAGAGACACGAGTGATACAACCTCAAAAATCAGGACCAGTACAAAAACAAGGAAGATCAAGTTCTGTGAATTAACGTGTGCAGTTAAATCTTTTTCTCCATTGATTTTCGACAGGCAATACAACACATGCTGTCGTGCAGTACTGCATGCACTCCATTTGGCCAGTGGTTACCACATTCCCACCCCCCATGTCTTAGGCAATACAGCACATGCTGTCGTGCAGTACTGCATGCACTCCATTTGGCCAGTGGCTACCACATTCCCACCCCCCATGCCTTCTTTGGCAATTCTAGTGTGCAGCAGTATTCTAGCTTGGAACATTTTAGTGCCAGGGTAAATTTTTGGATTACAAAGCATAGTGAGCGCAGTTTCTTAATGCTTTCTGATGCTTGAAATACGATCCAATTGGTACATTTAAATTTTCAGTAATATTTCAGTTCATTTTTTGGAAAATCCGTGCTGGGTGGCACAGCCAATTTCAACGCCGAGTGCCGGGCGGGAATTTGCAGTACAGGGTGGTGCCACCCGGTGCCGCCCACCGCCACAAGAACCCTGGTGTGCAGTGCAGCGTGTATAACGTATATGTGTCAGGTACCGGAAACCCCAGCAGCAAGTGGTAAATAAATGCTTCAGTATTTTCCCTTCTAAATTTGACTTTTTAGGACATGCTATCACTTTCTGATAGCTCATACACTGTAGTAATAAACAAGTACGCACAGGAAAACAGGCGATGTCTAAATGCAGAGCTCTTTCAAGTCTTTCAAGTAAACATAATAACTTCCTCATCAGCTTACTGAGCTTCAAGTTCTGGTAAAGGCGCATTTCCATATGAATGTCAACACTTGCACCCAGCAGTACATCAAAATTGCTCCTGGAACGATTTTGACGGCCGACACAACACACACATGTGTTACATTAATGGAGTCGGTTTTTGTGTCCATGAACGTGGAATGCATGAACCCATCGTATATGCAACGCACCCAAAAAAACATACATACATGTATAGAAAGCCGCCTTAAGTCAATCACGGCATTGTGTTTTGCAAGTATTGGTTGCTTTTGTATGAAATTTCTGTTTTCACTTCCCTTTGTGAACAATCAAAACCACAAAGCAGAAAGAAAAGGCAGCTGGCAGAATTATTAGCCGATTGTGTAAAGAAATTGACAGATTGCAAAAATATCAAGCAACCTTGCAGACGGACAGATCGTGCCTCACAAGTTTACCATTATCCAGAGCCCCCAAGGGAGAACAGTTGTTGATAACTGATGGGGCTACCCTGGTCAAACAAAATAAAATAAATAAATAAAATCATGACCGTGCATCGCTGCATCATGAACACTGAGCAGGAATAACTGCAGCATCCCGACTCCACTTTGTCAATTGTGTACAAAATGTCTAGGGAGAGTTCAGAGCATTTTCAAAGCATTTTCTAAGAAAATATGAAATTTTCTTTCAGCTCCACTATTCAAGTCTTCTTTAGACTTTTTAACATTTAACCAAGCAACGACTGACCATCATCTGTCATGTCCATGCTGACCTCCATTGAGCATACTTGGATCAAAACTGGCATGACTGGGTACAACTGTAGAATACAGGGCCACTCACCCGTTCCACCTTGTAGCCAGCTACGAGGTCAAAGGCAATGTGTCATAAAAGAGGACCCTTCTCCTTTGTCAGTACAAGAGGGCGACATCTTAGCCACATAGCCACCAACCGGGTACTTGGTTTGGGCTCAGACTTTTTTCGAACATCTCCATTCATTTTGCATTGCTCTGTTCTCAAAAAGAACTCTTTCGACATCGTACCCGCCAACTGGGTAGGTCTACTCAGTTTGGACTTGCATGTAAATATTTTTTCACCCTCTTCCCGTTCACTTTGTGCGCACATCCCAAAACCATGTTGTTACTACAGATCTGATGCAACATCGCAGTGATTCTAGGGGGTATATTCGTGCGTGGCCCTGCATTCTTTAGTTACTCCAAAAAATTATGAAAAGTGCAGGCAGAATGCAATTATTCTTTCTTTTTAGCATTTTAACCGTACAAAGGGTACCCTTTGTACCCCACAAATCGCCCGTTTGGACATTGTTGGGTGATAGGAGGGTCCAAGTACCTTCCATAGGCTTTTGCTTCCATTATTTCATTTCACTCAAAATAGCTCGTACCCTAATCAAAATCCTCCAAATTCACCTTTGAAATTGTCCTTAAAATGTCTAATGCATCCGTCTATGGATTAAGTGAGAATCGGAGATTCCAACAATGAAAATGTGGTTTATTCACATATGCGAAGAAAAGAGACATTTCCCCTTCAAATCAGAAATGACCTTGTCAACGAGCTCGAAGACAGCATCTTTCCTCAAAATAGCCAATTTGAACTATTCACAGAAAGCATGCTGTGTTGGCATACGCGCTCCAACGTCTGTTTCCTGAGCAGTGGAAAGTTTGGTGGCTGTGACCAATTCGAAACTGTACACTGAACATTATGCTGCTCAGGAAACGATTGTCAGCATGCTTGCGCCAACACGGCATGCTTTCTGTGAATGGTCCACTAGGCCGGTGCACCATGACATTGTCAACAGGACATCAACACACAGTTCAAATCACTATTTGAGGAAAGATGTCATCTTCAATCTCATCGACAAGGTCATTTCTGATTTGAAGTGTTAAAAAAAGGCGATTTGTAGGGTCCAAGTTATTCGGACTAGGACTGTTCCAACAATAGTCAGGCCCATCCCAACCAGAGCGCTTTAGTCATGATAGTTGGGCCGGCCAAAGCAGTGTGCATGTCACATGTCCAGCATGTGCCAAAATCATATTCATTGTTTAGTGTGTCATGTCACAGATGAAGTGCCATATTCTAGATTAATTAAGTCAAGTGTAAGATGCATTAACTTGGATAAGGTTGAGAAAATTTCGATACAAATTGGTCAACTATAGCCTAGGGACAGACGCAATAGTTGGGGCGTATAGTATACTGCCCTACTGTTTAAATTGTTGGACATAGGATTGGGAAAAGTTCCATACAGATACAGACATGACAGACGCCGCTTGACACCCTGTGCCTGCTGTGCACAAACCCATGAGACTGGTCTGAAAACTTGCATTTTTTAAGTAAACAACTTGTTTTTTTCCTCCTACACTGAACTATTCTGGACATGTTTTGCTTGCTATAGTGTAGAGAATAATATTCACATGGCGGCCGTACATGGAACTCTTCCCTCATGTCCCCGGTCATGGTAGTGACTAGTGCAAGTACTGTTACTAAACTCACCCAGAATATGCCGCAACACAATGCAGGAGTCTACTTCACAGAGCCTGTAATCGGCTGCAGAAATTGAAGAACCTAACCTTCACTTTAGCTCTCCAAATCGGATAATGAGGTACCTTTTTCAAATCGTTACGCAAATAATGAGGAATCTTCCGCTGTTTTGGAAAAAGACTTCAGTAGCCGCATGCATGCTCGACCAGCTGCGGGCAGCTCTAGCGCGCGACTTGCTCCTTCGGCCGCTGGTTTCAGAGCCCAAATGATTTCTGTTCGTAGCGTAGGAAATAAAAACAAGCAAAAAAGTCATAACATGTTTGTATGCAGGAGTTTTGAAAGCGATGTTTATAGCTTAATTGGGCGCGGAAGCTCCAGCTGTGAACCATGGGTCAAGGAGGCGTGGCTCAAAATGGGACAAACAACTTGACTCAAAGTGCGCATGCGTAATGTTCCTGTTGACAAGTTAAGTGACATGTGTAAGCTGTACGAAAATAGCACGTGCGCCGGCTGCAAAATGTAAACAAAGTTGAGTGCGTGCATAGACTAGGAGGATCCGTCCGTAAGTATCCGGCCGGATTGCGGCTTGGAATGTCACCTGAAATGATGTTAAGATTGAATAATTATGTGAGCGCAGAATGTATTCACAACACATATTTAACTTTAGGCAATTGAAATTATCATGGGCTTTATAACGGATTTAGTTAAGACAAGATCATCGATCATACGCAAGGTATTAATCACTTTTTCTGATACATAAATCCACAACATACATGCACGTACGTACAAGTCACTCATTTTATTTACCGACTCGGCCGGTCCACTTACTGGTGCCCGTCCCAGTATCGATCGTCGACGTCCGAAGAACACCTGGGGAATATTTTAAATTAGCGAAAAGGAGCAGGCCAGTCAAACTGACAGGTGAATTGGTATCCAACAGCTGCGCGTGGTACTGGATGCAGCCA